ATATATCAAACCATAGAGAAACAGAAGGCAAGAATAACTATTAGCATAATAGAATATTAAATTGAAGTCCTGTGACCTTGCTGCTGTCTTGTGCTCATGGACATACCTCAAAACATTGATTTGAATCCTTCAACTCCCTTAAAAATGAGACAAATCCTTGGGAGAGCTGCAGCAACTGAGCTGACTCCTGCTGTGCCTTTGTCTCAGCTCTGGATATTTCTTCTCTCAGAAGTCAAGAAACAATCTGTTTGTTCTGAGGGATTGCCTGAGTTGTGTTGGAAGCTTCCTCCTCCTCCTGGTGCACTGCTTAGCTCACATCACTGCTGCTGACTTCAGCCACGACTCCAGCCCACTCTTCCTAAAGCTTTTTTATCAGGTAGGTCAGCAGGTTACAAATGGAATTGCATCACAGCAATGTGCATCAAAAAATCACCATTTTGAAAGGGCTAACACCTTTGTACAGCTTCTAATAATAAAAACCAAAAGGGGAGATGAAAAGAGAGTGAAGTGCTAGCTGAAAGGCAGGCACAGCAGCTGCTCACTGAAAGACTGATATCCAAAGACTGCTTCACCTCAGCTGAAGGCAGAGAGACAGCAGAAAAACCCACAGTCACAGAAACACTTAGGTTGGAAAAGATCTTCAAGGTCATTAAGTCCAACCATTAACCCTACTCTGCAAGTCCAGTGCTAAGCCATGTCCCCAGGCACCACTTGCAAACACATCCAGGGATGGTGACTCAACCACCTCCTTGGGCAGCCTGTTCCAGAGTCTGACAGCTCCTTCAGTGAAAAAGTGCTTCCTAATGTCTAGTCTAACCCTTCCCTGGTGCAGCTTGAGGCCATTTCCTTTTGTTATATCACCAGTTACTTGTGAGAAGAGACCAGCACCCAACCTCCTTTCAGGCAGCTGTAGAGGGTGAGGTCTCCCTTCAGACTCCTTTTCTTCAGACTAAACCAGCCCCAGTTTCCTCAACTGCTCCTCATAAGACTGGTTCTCAAGGCCCTTCACCAGCTTTGTTGCCCTTCTGCAGACACAGTCCAGCACCTCAATGTCCTTCATGCATTGAGGTGCCCAGAAGTAGACACAGTATTTGAGATGTGGCCTCACCAGGGCCAAGTACAAAGGCATGATCACCTCCCTGGACCTGCTGGCCACACCATTTCTAATACAGGCCAGATGCCATTGTCTTTCTTGGCCACCTCCTGAGCAGATTCAGCCATCTATCAATCAGAACCACCCCCCAGGTCCCTTTCTGCTGAGCAGCTTTCCAGCCACTCTTCCCCAAGCCTATAGCATTGCATGGGGTTCTTGTGGCCCAAGAGCAGGACTCAGCACTTGCCTTGTTGACATTCATACAATCAACCTCTGCCCATCAATCTAGTCTGTCCAAGTCCCTCTGCAGAGCCTCCCTGCCCTCAGGCAGGTGAACTCTCCCTCCCAACTTGGTGCCATCTGCACACTTACCGAGGGTGCATTTGATCTCCTCATCAAGATCATTGATAAAGCTGCTCAAAAGTGGTCCCAACACTGAGCCCTGAGGGACACCACTTAGTGACCAGCCACCAGCTGGGTTTAGCTCCATTCACCACCCCTCTGTGCCCAGTGCTTCACCCAGCAGAGCATGTGCCCACCCAATACCAGGACAACACCCTGTGTACAAACAGCACAGACACAGAAACACCTGCTTGCTCCACTGACAGCTAAGGAGGTAAAAACAACCACATGCTAAGCACCAGTTGGCCAGTACGTGGGAGAATCAAACAATCCTCTGTCATAATCCTAGTCCTGACTCACAGAAGAGTTACACCACACAGATCTGTTCAGAAGGAACTGGAAGCCCAGTGCTCTTCCTGTAAACCCCCATGTGGTGCAGCCCTTGCCATTCAGCCTTAAGTAAAAGCACTTGTGTATTGCAGGGGTTACCCATTACCATCTCATTTTCCCCCAAAGGTATTCCCAGGGGTTTTAGCCCCCTGCTGAAAGCCACCTTTTATGAATGATGTGTGTCCTCACAAGTAGGAAGGACCATCAGTCCATCTCATTTTCCCCCAAAGGTATTCCCAGGGATTTTAGCCCCCTGCTGAAAGCCACCCTTTATGAATGTGTCCTCACAAGTAGGAAGGACCATCAGTATTGTCTGGAAACCAACATCACACAAATATCCCCAACTAGATTCCACTCATTAATGGCCCCATGTTCTCATCTTGGTTTTAACAGGCTATCAACTGCTGCATATTGACCATACTATGCAGCACATTGGTGGTATCAATTCCCTGGGAAAGAAATAGACTCCCAGGAATGAAAGTCTGTTTCACACAAATATCCCCAACTAGATTCCACTCATGAATGGCCCCATGTTGTCATCTTGGTTTTAACAGGCTATCAGCTGCTGTATATTGACCACACTATGCAGCACATTGGTGGTATCAAATCCCTGGGAAAGAAATGAAGTCCTTTCACACAAAATAGACTCCCAGAAATGAAAGTCTGTTCTGATGTCCTACTATTGTTTGATTCTATCTTTTTCCTCCCCCTTATTAATACCTTGGTTCAGTGGTTGGCTGAAAAGAACTGTTCAACTGCTTCCAGATTCTCAAAACACTTGGGTTTTTTTCTAGGCACTCAAGGCTTGTCTTAGTGAAATGTTCTCCCTCAGACTCCAGCTGTCAGCAGTTCTTCAGGGAGATAAAGCATATGGGTTAAGCCAAGTATTGTTAAAGGAAGAACCATTCTCTAAGGAGGACATAAACCTCATCTCCCAACTTTTTGATGTGAAAGTGAAAAGCCTCAAAGATATGGAAGCCTCTAAGAAGGTAATAAAACATCACCAGACAAGGTCCAGATGAAGCAGTTTGTAAAGAGGTTTTTAAAATTAACACTGATCTGCTTTCTCCACTTCTGTGCTTGCTGCATAACAGAAGAACAACTTCTTGCTCCACTCAAAGTCTGAGGAACAACTAAATGAATTGGTTGTGAAGAAAGAAGAGCATTTCCTTTGTACCTTGAGCAACCATGAAAAGGGCAGTTTTGCATGCAGGACAGGGTAAGAGTGATTTGACAGGAGGTGTTACTAACTGCTGTATTAAGACAGCAACAACTGAACAATTTGGGAGGTGTGATACACAGCAAACCATGACACCATCATGACCTCACTTTATACTACAAAACCAGTCAAGCCAGTCTACCCTCCACAACCAGGCATGTTGCACAGGTAGCAGGTCAGATTCATTGCCACAGGATGTCACAGAAAGGCTGATGGCTTCTCTATAACCTACCATCTTTTTCTCACTAACAGAGAAATTCCAGTGAAATTTATTTTTCTGGTTCACTCTTGTGAAAAGTCCACATATCTCACTTTAGCAATGGTATTTCTACTGTCTGATTTTAAGAATTTCCTTTCATTTTTTAGCATTGAAGAGGAAATCTGCACCTACTCATCCCCTTCTGAACTTGAGGATAAGGTGGACGTATTGACTGAAGAGCTCGTGCGTATCATAGAGGATGAACATGAGTTTTTAAACAGTCAAGGCAATGAAGATTTGCTTTTTTACTACCGTGAAGTCACTAGTTTGGAGAAAGACTGTTTGGTGAAACAAATAGATGCATTAGAAGAGCAGATAGCCCTGTGCAGAAAGCTGTAGTGGTCCTCAACAGGACACGTGGTGGTTTGGTTCTAATTTGATCCTCTGCATTTGTCCTCAGGCTTTAAGCCAAAGTGTATCTTGCATTTGTTTTAACTATCATGTTTTCTCCCCCTCATACTAGAGGCTCATTAAATTAGCAGTGGAAGCAACGTGGCAACTTAAGTGACAAATCTTTGGCCTAAGTGACTGATTTCTGGCAATACCCAAGTTGTTGCAAAAGCTCCATCCCAGAATTTCCAGGAACAGAAGCAAAATACAGCATCACTCACATCTGCTTAGTGTTTAAGAAAATAAATGTGGGGGTTTTTTCAAACTAATGTTTCAGTCCATGTTCTGAAGCCTCTGCAGACCTCAGCTGATGGCTACACTGTTCTGCTGAGACAATGAAAGCTTTAGATATGATCAGCCCAAGTAACCATATCTACACAATTACACATCAAGAGCAAGAATTACTACATCTACCACTGAAAGCAACTTACACAGCCCAGACAACCTCTGCTTCTGAAGTCACCATATTCCAGCTCCTCTGTGGTACCACCTATACAGAAATGCAGGTCCTGCACTGCCCCATATTCCAGCTCCTCTGTGGTACCACCTATGGCAGTGCAGGACCTGCATTTCTGTAAAGACCAGCCCTGCTCATGCTTGGACAGACAATTTTGCCTCCTCCCACATTCAAGATCCAGACACCCATGAAACTACTTGCTGATCAATGAAACCCACCACAGCCTTTGGCTCAGGTGAGAAGCAAGAAGGGAAGGAGCAGAGTCACCTGAGATCTTCCCTTCTCTGCCAGCACAAGACATGGAGGCAAGGACAAGCTCCAGGTTCTCACAAGGCACTGAACACCCCAACACTAATGCTGTTACCTCATTACACACCAGATGTTCAACCCTGGGAAGGGGCTGTGTTACTGCAGCTTCACCCATGTGACGTGCAGATGTTTTGCTCACAGTGCAGCTGCCCTTGCTACCTTTGCCAGCAGGAAGAAGACTATCATCCAAAGCAACTTGGAGGATGTTTTTATCTTCCTTTGTGTTGTCACCAAAAAGCTTTTAAACTCCCTTCAGGGCAGTGATAGCAGATCAGACAGCTTTTAAAAAATCATTAGTAGATTTATTGATATATGCATTTCCTTTTTAACTTACAAGTAGAGTTTCACATTCATTTTCAATCTTATGTTAACATTAATAAAACATTTTAAAATTATATCATAAAACCCCAAAGTTTCAGATGCAGGAAGTAAAAGATAAGGATCAGACAGTAAGTGCTTTCTGTTTTTAGGGAACTCTGCAGTGCCAGCCTTTATCCCAGACAACAGCTCAGTGTTTCAGCACTGAGGCAGAGCCACAGATCTACCTCTTGGTGTTGATCCAGTGGTATCTGTCAACACGCAGTCCTGTGAAAGCAGCTGTGGGCCTGTGGAGTTTGTAACCCCTGTGCTGGGCATAATATGAGCCATCAGTCATATAGGCCTTCCGATAGAGGTACTGAGACCAGGGCTGGATGGGTCCCTTGCAGTAGAACTGAACAGCAAGAAATGAGAGGGTGTCAAAATGTGTTTGGGGAAAGAGGGGAGGTTAGCCTGGCCATCTATTGTATTCAATCTATTGTATCCCTTCATGAGCAGCCATAGGGCAGGGGGCTAGCTCTTCCTGAAAGCTCCACACCCTCACCACATGCTCACCTGGTAGACACTGTTGGGATTGCTGACAGTAGGGATGGCTTGTGGCTCCTTGCTGAAGCTCTCCTCATCAGAAGAGATGCCAGAATGATAGTCTAGTGCTGCTCTGTCAACAGCATAGCTGATCTGCTGAGGAAGATCTGGGTTCTCCTCTCCTTCAAAGTGTGCAATTGTGAAGGGCTGGCTCTTCTCACCATACCTGGGAGGGACTGCATTGGCATGAGGCAGCTCTGCACTTGCAGTAAGGCCACCTGGGACTAGGCAGCTGACCCCAGTGAGCAATCAGGCACTGAGACCCTAGTTACAGGCTTGGAGCTGATCAAGTTTATACAGGGCACCTGAGGTGCATCAGCCACAGCTTCCCAACTCACCTGCAACACACCTCAAATGGATCAACCCACAGTGTCAACTCTTTTGGCAAGCCAAGCTGAGTGAAGTCCACATTACTCTCTGCACAAGCTTGCTCCAGCACTGGATCTCTTGTCTGGTGTTTGTTTATCCTTATACACCTAAGGAAGAACAAAGTGCAGGTGGATTTAAAGTTTCACTGCAGCTTTGAAAGTTCTGCTCATACACAAACTCAAATTCATTTCCCACCCCTTCAACACATTTAGATTCTTAATGCAAGCTCTTACTCATAGCCCAAATCAGGGTAAGTTCACCCACCTCACAAGCCAACTTATAAACCCAGACAAGGTTTTGCCTTTTCTAAGCACATAATGCAGCAATTCACTTCATCAGTCATTTTAAGAGAATTGAAGCACTTGCAACAACTCCACAAGTCAGTGTAACAGCACTTGAGTTCTGAACTCAAGTCAGAGGGCTACTCAAGATTCTTTGCACATATTCTCTTCAAATTTCCACCTCAGATCCCCAGTCATGCCTGCACAGACACACACTGTGAAGCCCCGCAGGTGCATCTTCACCAACTAATGCCACCTCTACCCTCAGGCTTAGGGGATTCTAAGTGATTCTCTTTCAATTTTGGGTCACTTATTCCAATTTAAAGGCTCCAGGCACTGAAAGAGTACTCACTGCAACTTTAACATCATGCAAAGGCTCTGTTCCCCCCCCCTCCTCTTCTTTAAGGGTCCTCTTACCTGAAGGCTTGTCCTCTGGATGGATTGTCCAAGTACCAGTGATTCTTATACTTCTCAAAGAGTATTGTTGTCAGCTTAGCTGCAAATTGCTCCATTTTATGTTTGCTCAGCTTGTCTTCCCTTTTCACTAGCCTCGTGATGAAGAAGACTGTGGCAGCAATTTCATCCTTCATTTTAAAGGGAAGTGCACAAGGTGCTTTAGCTGTTGGATAGTCAGAAGAGATGAGACACTATACTAGGAAGGTTTTATGACATTAAGGTGCTATCAAGCTCTAGGGATAGATATTGTAAAACAGATAGGACCTAAATAAGCCCAATTGCCAAACAACTAATAAGCTTAGTTGTAGGTAATAAAACTCATATAATGCTTTGCTAGAAGGCACTCACACTAAGCAAGTTAGCAGAGTATAAAGTAAAGAGTTTTAAATTTAGTACTCCTTATTACAAAATCACCTCTACATTACCATCTACAACCAACAGTTCTTACAATTAAATAACTAACTTAAACACAGACCACAAACATTACCTTCTCAAGCCAGAACTGTTGAACACAAGAGGATGTACTTCAAATAGTCACCAAAGACACAGGTCTAAACCAAAAAGAAACCGTATCACCCACACAGAGTGAGAAAAATAGCCAACACATGCCTCTCTTTTCCCCTACTGGCCCTTGCTGAGGGTTTATATAGAGCAGGGAATCATGTGGCTCTGAGGAATGTAACAATATTCAGGTGTGCACCATTAGACCAACTAGCAAGCTGGTTTTCCAATGGACTTTGTTTTATTCCAGTATCAGCTCCTTCTTTTAGGGTATATTTAGCTGATTCAGGCCTGCATTCTGTCGTGTCCATCACTCTGTCTCACAAGCATCTGTGCAATATTTCAGTGAAATATCCACTGTGAGAAAAACACACCAGGCCTGGTAATTAGTTCTGAAAATTGCACTTGCCTACTTCTAGCAGATTTTACACAACACACTGCTTTCCTTAGGAAGCTTTCACATTTGGAATTCCTTACTTTGAAAACTGCCTGGCTCTGTACTTATGGTAATATTAATCCTCCTGGTGATTTATCTAGATGTTCACATTATTAGTATAGTTTGATTTTATTTCTGAGGCATTTAATTCAGTGTGAAGGGCCCTGCTAGAGGACTCACCTGCAAGCAGTTTCTCAGAAGTGAGAAGAAGTATCTGAGAACTTTCTACTAGTTACACACAAGTCCCCTAAGGCTTTGCAGAGGAAAAAGCTGCACTACATGCAAAGCATGAGGCAAATACAACTTCTAGTGGAAGCTTTTGAAGCTTTACTTCTAGGAAAATGCAGCTGTGAGCAACTCCCACAGATCTGAGGGTTTTTAACTCTGCTGACAAAAGAGGTGTCCAGGAAACGTCAAATGAGAGCAAGAATGGCCACCTAAAAATGACAGGATTATGATTTGTGAGCTTCTTCTCAAGAACAGGTTAGTGCACTCAGGGCTTCATGCACAGACACAGGGATTGTGACTCCTCTAGGGATGATGCTGCCTTTCCTGCAGAGCCTAGAAAGTTGCTATTTCATCTGGTTTCTTTGCCTTCATGTCATTTTTTTCACAATATCATATTATAATCTAATAAAATATATTACTTCTTCCCATAAAACATGTTTTCCTTTTTTTTTTTCTTGAACTTTCAAGGCTAAAATAACATTTCCACTGCAAAACAGCACCAGGAATCATAAGGAGTCTTTTCCCTGCCCTGGAGTCTGATCATGGTTTCCATGTGGGACCTGACCCTGATCCAGTTCAGTCTCAGGAATTATCCAGTCTTTTCCTCAATAAATGCCAGGCTGGTTTGGATCAGTGGGCCACACTAATTGATGGGACTTTGAACTGTCTCCTGCTTTCTCACTTTCCCCAACTTGTCCAGGCAGGCCCTGTGAGTTGGGAAATTCTGTGACCAAAGAGTGAAGGGACTAGATTCCAGAGAGGACAATCAAAGAGAATCTGAATCCCTGCACCACCTCCTTTGTTGAGTTACTTGTTCCCATAGTTAACACATCAACTGCCAGTCAGCAACAAACAAACTCTTCACCTGAGGAACCAGATTCCAACAGTGCAATCAGTCATGCAACCAGGTGCTACTTCTTGGATATCTGGAGGCAAGACCCAGGCCAAACTACACACATTTATAACAACAACCACATGAAAATTCAAGCCAAGTTCTTGGCAATTCATCCTGTTGGGTCTAATTGTTAAGGTTGTCATTGACACAGAAGAAAGGCTCTAAGAACTTTTTAGCTTGGTAATTTTTAATGTCTTGCAGGAGTTCAAAAGTGTTTATTTTAGTGGCACAGAAACCAGAATAGCAGAGAGAATTCCTGGCTTCCCATCTCAGTGACAAGAACAACTGGATCCTTTAATTAGGTAGATTCACTGAACTCAGATCCTTCATAATGCTGCCAGTTGTCACTGACTTAAGAAAACGTAGCCCTGGGTACTCTGTTTGGATAATAAGCAGCAAAGAAAATGTCAAAGCCAAAATTTGAACAGTACATCCCAATGCTCCCACTCATTCCCAGTTGCATCCAAAGAGAAACTGTGAGCATCCCAGCAGAGTTTGCAGAAAACGAGATGAATAGCCAAGACATGCCTGAGATAAATGAATAGGTTAAATGGTGCTGGTTTTTAATGCTTATCAGGAAGAGAAAAACCCCAAACCACCAAAAAAAACACTGCATGACAGTGACTAGAGCTTCATGGGACTGATCCAGATCTCTCTGAAATCAATGGAAATCTGTCCAGATACTTCAGTGGGATTCAGATCAGGCCCCTCACTCAGCACAAGCATTCTTAGCCAGATTAAATTATGGGTCTCCTGGGCCACCAGGCAAGCCTAGGCATGAACCACAAAGGTAAAGAGTCAGACACAGTTTCTGTAGTAACTGCAGCCCAAACCAAGAGCACACACAGTTTCCTAAGCACATTACTGGCAAGATTCATGCCTGCAGAATTTTTTGCAGATTTCTTGTGTTAAAGGATTGAGTACATGGAACTAACAGAACAACGTGCATCTTGCCAGTAACAACCTTCTTCTACAAGCCATTTGATTTTTGTGGATGATGGATGACAGACAATTTCTCCAGGTAAGCAGCTGAAGTTCATAACTATTGATACAAAAATCAGCCAGACTGAGTGATTTCCCAGTGGAAAAACATCCTAGATGACAATCATCTCAGAGAAAAGCACTTTGTATTTGCTTTTCCAGTTCTTTCTTCCTCCCTATTTCCATGCCACAATTTGCAGAAATGACAAGAGATTTGAGCCACCCAGCAACACACAATTCACATTACAAGCATGGAGAAATGGCTTGGCTAGGCTCTCAGGAATCAGGGACAGAGGTGGTGTGAGTCACTGCTGGGTGAAGAAGTGCAGCATGTACCTCCCACTGCCAGGAGCACGAGACATTTATTCTTTTGAGCTGCTAATCTGTCTTTTTTGGGGCCTCCCTCTCCAACAGCTGGACTCCTGGTATGTATTAAACCAGGCTGAACCCCCAGTGTCCAAATACCAACCTAGAGGCGTGTGCCTGGACTGCCACATGTGACACTAAAGCTTGGATCAGCTTTGGTGTCTGTGACCCAACCTGTATCCACCTGCCCACAGGAGCAGGGTGCAAGCTCTGGGTGTGACTTTGCCCATAGAAACACCTTTTGCAACAAACCTTTCTGTGGCAAGAACCATCTACATGTTCCAAAGCAGCAGTCCAGCCTCCATGCACAAGCCCCAGCTGAGTGGCCATGACGACAGAGTGTACACAAAGGTTAGAGGTGTGGGGCTGACCCACAGCCCAGGCTGGGAACACTCCAACCCTGGAGTCCCAGAGGAATAGATGAGGCACCCAGGGGCCACCTAAGGGATCATGGAATGGTTTGGGTTGGAAGGGACCTTAAAGATCATCCAACCCCCCTGCATGGAACCATCCCAGAGGCTTGTCTGGGAGGAAAGGAGTGCTGGGTGCTCAGGAACAGGTTGCTGTTGGAAAAGGGAAGGCAGTGAGGAAGGAAGAAGCTTTCCCTTCCCATTACATCTTTTCTAATAATTTTATTACAAACACAGCCTTTATCAGGATTATTACAAGGTAAGTCCTGAGTTCTTTTAATGCATTTTAACAGCAAGGCATTTATGGAATTTGCAGACAAACTTATCCCTGGAACCTCACAGACTCTTGTCTCATTGCTGGTTTAGGAACTGCCTTATAAATGTATATAAAATAGTTTTAGCACATTATTAATTGCATACATGTTGCAGACACGAGGCATAATTGATTGTAATTACCTACACGTACTCAACTTTGTTCTGCAGAGCAGATTTGCTCGTTTCTTTAGCTACCACAAATTAGTGTAAGAGGTTTGAGCAGCCTGACACCTGACTGCCAGCATGATCTGTGTTCCTCTGGTTTGCTGGGAAAAACAACAATTTTTCTGAAGTTCATGGAACTACTGAAATTCTACTGTTCTTGCTGCTGCTGTAACTGGATGCCATTTCTTCTGGAAACCTTTAAGTGGACAAAAAAAAAGGTGCTGTAGAACATTAGCTCAAATGCCCCAAGTAGAGAACAAGGATAATTAGAATCACTGGGACATCATGTGCTGTAAACCTGGTAGGATGTTTTTTATATTGAACATTTTGGTCTTTCCCAAATTTTCTGCTGTATTTCCACTTCCAGCTCTGAATGCACCACTTAGTCCACATCCATGCAGCAAGGACTGCACGACAAGGCTTTTCTCCTTTCCCATTCCCACTGTGGCCTGTTGTAATAATTTAAATTTTAGTATTCCATTGCTTTGTCTTTGCACTCCTGCAATGATCTTTATGATGCACACACTGCAGTTTTTCATTATTGGAACAATTAATTTGTGATAGAAAGACTTTAGATTCAGTAGAATAACACTACAGGTGAACAGACCAGTGTTTTCAATTATTGTCAGTTCCTTGTTGTTGTAAGAGCATTTCAGGAGATGTTAATGTCATGATTGGAAGTGCTGTCTTTTCTTCTAGGTCTGAATGCCATGACCCCCTCCCAGGAGTAGTGCTTGGTTTGTAGGCAGTGTAGTTAGCTGATTGTATCCCTTGCTTCACAATCACTAACTCCACTGCCATCAAAACAAGGCACAGGATTCCCTGCTCCAGCCTCAG